GGGCAGATGTCACTTCTAGGACGGAGGCAGGGACGTGACTGTCCGGGCAGAGCGAGGCTGCTGCCGCCCTGACTCAGCTGTTCATTTCAGTGAGCTGTCCTGGAGTCCAGGTGCTGACCCGAGGGCTGCTGGCTTGGTTGGTTGGACTGAAAACTTGGCAGCACTTTGTGGGGCTCAGCGGCTCACCAGTCACCTACGTCAGCGTAGCAGACAGTTGTCGGGTTGTGCTGTGTTCTGTTCTGCTCTGTTCTGTTTACCAGCCTGGGAGCCCCTCTGAGATGCCACACAGCTGTCGATAAGATGCACTCGGTGAATAATGTCAGACACGGAAGCTCGCATAATCTGTTGCTTCGAGTCAGAGTCAGATTTGTGACAGGTGGGAAGGGAGATGCCCTTTGAAGGAGACCCTGTTGGCTGCGTCTCTGTCGTGTGACTTTGTCCACAGGTAGAACGTATGTCGCCCCCAACAACTCCGTACCGACTTCCTGGGTGGTTGGAAAAATCTTACAAAAGAGAATTTCAGTGGGTTTTCAGCTTACTTGTTAAAAATATAACAATACAACCTCTGCTTAGTTTGTAAGAAGATAGGCTTTTTATCAGTCACACTGCAACAAAAGCCTTTGCCTCCTTGGAAGGAATAAAAAGTAGATGATTATTTAGGAAGAGAGCTAGTCTGATAGCCCATACATCTACATAAATTGTAAATAAATTGAAATAAACTGAAAAAAAAGTAAAAAATAAAAAAAATTTTAATGAAGAAATAAACTAAATTTAGAACCAAAGCTTTTTATTAAGCAAAGCGATCCACCAAGATTTTTTTTTAAGTTGAATCATATTCAATTACATTGAATTCATTAAAATATCACTACTATTAACATTTTGGAGAAAAAAATTTGTGCTACTAATAAAACTGTTACTTTAAAAATGTTTGCTTTCTCTTTATCTCATCCTTCAGTAAAACCATTTTGTGTGTCTTACCAGGGCACACGTGTTACAGGAAAATAATTACACATCTTAGGAGAGGCCCCAGGTCCCTTCTGAGGCTTTGCTTCCCACAAGGCTGTGTCCACAGATACTGACCTCAGACCCCGTGCCCGGCTGTGTCCTCCTGTCTGCAGAGCCCACGATCATCGGAGCTGGGTCCTGTGGCTCCTGGGTTCCTCCTCTGGCCCTCCCCTGCCGCCTGTCTGCACGCTCTAAGGAGCAGGGTGAAAGTCATCCTGTATGCGCCTCCTTGGTGACCGATGACTCCCTGGCCCACCTGTGTTGTTTTCCCCAAAAATGCACTGGAGGAGCCTGGGGCTCCCAGTCAGGCCCTCTCACCCCGGCAGCTGCGGCCTGAGGCCCCCTCACGTCCACCTTTGGGGATCTCAGGTGCTTGCTTTTAACTGGTAGAATCATGATACGAACTCCAGCAGCATGAAGCCGACCAGCTCAACTGCTGTTATGACAATAATGACATCAAAAATAGGTGACACTCCTCACATCTTAGGTTTCACGCAGCCTCCTCACCCCTTGATACGTAGGAATGGCGCCTCTATGGGCATCTTTTACCATTTTATGATGTGGAAACTGGAGCAGGTACACAGCCACAAGGTGGGACATAGACCAGGCTGTGCTGGCTGCCTCGTGTGGGTTTTGATGGCAGGGTCACAGGCCATCAACATGGCATCACACTGCAACCAAGAGCTTGCTGTCTCTGTAAGGCTGGTGCACACTTAGGAATGTCCTCCATACTGAGCTCGGTTCATGGCTCCGGCCAAGTGCTAGATGTGGAAGCCAGGGAGGGCCACTGACAGCCAGCCCGGTGGCCCCATTCCTGAGGGTTGCGTCCGGCTCCAGGCTGCCTTCCGCGCTTCATCAGCAGCGCCTGTTGAGCTGACACGGCGGCCGGTGGGTGGGGCCGTGACTGTTGGTCGCGTTAGTCTCTGCCAGGCCCTGTAGCCAGGAGGCCAGCCGGCCGGGATTCAGGCCGCACCTGCCGTCTGCTCTGCCTCAGCCGCCTGGTTAGACCTGCCGGCTTTCATCCTCCGCTCCAGGAGTCGGTGCCTGGCTGAGCTCCTCTGGCCCCAGGTCTTCACTCCTGCCCTTCCCAGGCCCCTGCAGCTTTCTGCTTGTCTTGGTGCCCCGAGAGATGGAGTCCTGCTGGAGGGGGAGAGAGTCCAGAGGACACGGGAGCTAACGGAGGGGCCACTGCTTGGCTTCCGGCATTCCCAGTGAGCCTGGCTGTGCTCTGGAGGTGCATCAGAGATGCTGGGGCCCTGTGTGCCCTGGGAGTGGGCACGTGCCCCAGAAAGGGCTGCTTCCAGCATCTGGTCCCCAGAACGTGGCTGCAGTAGACCCTGG